GGAGAAATATTGTGAAATATTTTTACGATGTAAAATAATGTTTTTCTATTTTAATATACATTAAAATCTAATTTATTCCTGTGATGCAAAGCTGAATTTTCAGCATCATTACTTCAGTCTAAAGTGTCACATGATCTTCAGAAATCATTCTAATATGCTGATTTATTATCAGTGCTGGACACTGTTGTGCTGCTTAATATGTTTTTGGAACCTGTGATATTTTTTTCAGGATTCTTTGATGAATAAAAAGTTAAAAAGAAGAGCATTTGTTTAAAATAGAAATCTTTTCTAACAATATACACTACCGATCAAAAGTTTGGGGTCAGTAAATTTGTATTCTTTCTTTTTTTGAAAGAAATTAAAACTTTTATTCAGCAAGGATGTGTTAAATTGATAAGAAGTGATAGCAAAGATTTATATTGTTAGAAAAGGTTTATATTTTGAATAAATGCAGTTCTTTTTAACTTTTTATTCATCAAATAATCCTGAAAAAAGTATTGCAGTTTCCAAAAACATATTTGGCAGCACAACTGTTGCCAACATTGATAATTCTAATAATAAATCAGCATATCAGAAGGATTTCTGAAGGATCATGTGACACTTTAGACTGGAGTAATGACTGATGGAAATTCAGCTTTGCATCACAGAAATAAATTATATTTGAAAGGAAATTCAAATAGAAACCATTATTTTATATTGTAATAACATTTTGCAAGATTACTGTTTTTGTCTGTATTTTTGATCAAATAAATGCAGCCTTGATGAGCATAAGAGACCTTTTTTAAAAACATTACAAGTCTTACTGATCCCAAACTTTTGACCGGTAGTGTATATTTCAATTAGATTTTTTTCAAAAAAGAAAGTAATAGTTTTATGCAGCTGTGACACATTAAATTGAACAAAAGTGACAGTAAAGACATTTGTAATGCAACAAAAGATTTCTATTTAAAATAAATGCCGTACTTTTGAACTTTGTTTTCATCAAAGAATACAGAAAAACAACTGCTTTCACCATTAAAGGGATAGTTCACCTTCAGTTGCTTCAGTCCCCATTGACTTCAATAGTATGGAGAAAGAAAGAAAAAACACTATGCAAGTCAATGGGGACCAGCAACTGAAGGTGAACTATCCCTTTAATAGTACATGTTTCTGCAACCAAATCAGCATATTAAAATGATTTCTAAAAGATCCAGTGACACTGAAGACTGGAGTAATGGCTGCTGAGTATTCGGCTTTGCCATCACATGAATAAATTGCATTTTGAATATATTCAAATAGAGAACAGTTATTTGAAACTGTGTTTTTTTTGTATTTTCATCAAATAAATGCAGGCTTGATGAGCATAAGAGACCTCTTTTAAAAACATTTTTAAAAATATTACCGACCCCAAACGACTGAACAGTAATACTTTCCCTCATGCATTCATATAAATTTCAATCTCATGGTATTTGCATCTCCCCCAATATTGATAAATAATGGTCATACATATCTTTGCAAATGTTTGATACTTAAGTACTAAATACAAAAAAATTTAATTAAAACACTTTTAACTGAAACATATTTTTGTTCATCTCCTGTACAGAGTAAGATAGGTCTTGTGCTTCATAGTATGATGGCCTGTGATCTTGCCCTGAAGTTCCTCGAGAACGCCCTTGCCCTGACCTCCAAATATCAGGGACCCTCATCTCTCAAACTGGCACAAAGGTGAAGAGTGAACAAAAACACATCGTGATGGATACATTACTCATAAATTCTGACAAAAAACATAAATGAAAAGTGTTTTAAAACTGTCATTATCCTGTCCCTCTTTACAGTCATCACTTATTGGCAAAGGTGCATGAAAGTAAAGGAGATTTCCGTGCTGCACTGACGCATGAAAAGGAGCGTTATGGCATATACAGGAAGCAGGTGAATGATTACATTCCCACAATGATAAGCAGATTTGTATTGCCTTGATTTTCATAAATGCTACTTTAATAGGTTGGAGAAGAGCATGAAGAGACCCAAGAAAGTTCAGAGTACCTAAAGCATCTGACACATCAAGCAGTGATTCTACAGAAAACTATGAACTGGATCTGCAAAACTGGCTCAGACACCAATATTCTCCCTCTCAATGTTAGTATTGCACATAACACAGAGAATACATGTGTCTTAGTTGATGCATAGTTGTATAATAATGATGAATTGAATACACTGTCTTCGGCTTTGCTTCATCCTCATATAGCTGAACTCTCCAAGTCGTGTCTGGATAATGGAGCAGCTAAATCTTGTCACTGGAATTGTCCTTATTCCTCTTAGGTAAGAGACCTGAAAGTGTACTAGGAACCATTTAATTGTTCTTTGATTGCAATGTAATTATAACTGTGTTTAATATAAATGTGTTTTTCCAATTGAGAGCAGTTTTATAATTAAATTTATTTAAACTTATTTATTTAGCTTAGGGCTGCACGATTAATCGAATCGAATCGCGATTGTCATGCACATTTTGTCAGTAAAGCCGGTTCTGTGATTAGTAGTAAATCTCCATCACCTGCTTTCAGGTGGAGCAGCATTTACTACACAGAGCTGTAGTTCTCTGCTACGCAAAATTGCACTCATAATCGCAGACGATATAATCGTAGGATTATGAAATCGACAAAATAGTTTGCGATAATGACAGCTGTTTGCGTATCTTCTCAGTGAACTACAGCTTTGTGTAGTAAATGCTGCTCCATCTGAGAGCACGTTTTTACTCCAAACTCACTTCATAATGTCAGTCGAGTGTTTGAAATAAATCATTCTGTGACACGATGTGGCTTCTTACACAGAATAATTAAGGCACACAATATTTCATTGTAGTCTAAGCTGTGATAAAGGCTATGTCGATTAGCATTTCATTATAGATATACTTTATTATGATAAAAATTATAATAATAAGAACTCAGATAAACCATATATTGCCATAGTCGTGTGTTTATTAGTCACGTTGAATAAATGAAAGCAGTTAAATCTTTTGTTTATTCAGCTGCAGCAATAGGCATTTTTTGGATTTCTTTTTCAGGGCATATTTTGATTTTTTTCGCGCGAGAGCGCCCTCTGGCCTTCGGATGGAGATTTACTACTGATCACAGAACTGTGCTTCACTGAAAGATACGCATGACACTTGCAGCTTCTGCCTAATCGCGTTTCATCGCCTTTGCGATTTAATTTCGATTAATTGTGCAGCCCTAATTTAGCTTATTATTTAATTTAATTATTTATTAACAGGTTTAAAATATCTTACTTTTTGTTCTATGAAAGTCACATTAAAATTGTCTAAATGTTCTCTATATTATACTCTCTTTGATTGACTCTTTAACATGCAGCCATATTTTAATTCCCTGAAGTAACAGCGACCTTGTGAAGCGCGAGAGCGCCCTCTGGCCTTCGGATGGAGATTTACTACTGATCACAGAACTGTGCTTCACTGAAAGATACGCATGACACTTGCAGCTTCTGCCTAATCGCGTTTCATCGCCTTTGCGATTTAATTTCGATTAATTGTGCAGCCCTAATTTAGCTTATTATTTAATTTATTTATTTATTAACAGGTTTAAAATATCTTACTTTTTGTTCTATGAAAGTCACATTAAAATTGTCTAAATGTTCTCTATATTATACTCTCTTTGATTGACTCTTTAACATGCAGCCATATTTTAATTCCCTGAAGTAACAGCGACCTTGTGAAACTCAGGACTGATGCTCAGAAAACGTCACAGCTCATACGAAATAATGTTCAGTCAGTGGAGGATCTGCAGGGGCTGTTTGAGGACCACGACACATCACAAGTTATAGCTTAACAGGACTTACGCCTTGTAATTTAAGACTGCACTTTAAATAAAGTGAACAAACAGATGAGCCCTTAAATGAACAGTTGTAGTTGGGGTTTAAACATATCAACATGAAATTAAAAATGAAAATGTGTACATGTAACTCTTGACCAAATAGTGTGGTGGATGATCTTGCAAAAAAAATTTTTTTTTAATATATATATATATAAAAAGCACGAGTGTATCTGGCTGTTGAGTGTATCTAGGCAAATGTGCACATTTGTAAACTGGACTGTCTGATCATTTATGTCTTCTTTGTACATTTTGTGAATATTGCACTATATATGTATAAGAGCCACAGAGCAGTGACTAGCAAAGAGGGCTAATGCATGCACTTCATACTTGTATTATTGCATTGTGATAAAATTATTTGTGAAAAGTGCAACAAATAAAGCAGTAAATAACATGAATTATTTATATAGTTTTTATTAATATTTTAAATTCGCTTTTATTTTTAGATTTGCAGTTTTCATTTGATCATTTTTATTTTTTAAATATTATTATTTAGGTCATTTTTATTTCAGTAGTTTTAATTTTCAGTTTAGTTTGTATTTATTTCCGTTTAGTCATTTTAATGCTTCAAATTAAACTTATTTCAGTTAGCTTCCAAAGCAACATTTCTCATTTTCGTTTAGTTTTTCATCTAATTTTTGTATTTTATTTGATTTTATTTCAGCTTTATTTCATTTAACAAAAATGTTTTAGTAGTTTTCATTTTAGTTAACATCTGCAACACATTGTACCCATGTTTACATTTATTAAAATCTTAATCATTTATGTAATTAATAATGGCTCACGCAGAAATATAATGATAGTTTCTTATGATATACAGTAGCCTCACTGACCATTTGCACTTATCCATCATAGGTGCAGCACATTGCTTTGCGCTATGTGCAATAATATGTAACTGAAGAGGATCACATAATTTGAATGATTTTACATTAGTAACAACTGTAACAGACTGTAGTAGTACGTTTGTTTTTAGATAAATTTAATAAACAAATCAAATATTCATATTTGGAATACCCATGGTTAAAAATACGGGTATTCATAAATGCCAATATTTATTGAAACGTACCACCGTCAAAAAAGCTCATAAAATGAGTCAGGTGAAGGTTATGATGTAAGTGACCGCTGTGATCCTCAGGGCGGGCGCGCTCCCGTCCGCACCGTGCGCGCACCCGTCCGCACCGTGCTCGTGCCCGTCATCAGTAGACGGTTATGCGGTGCAGAAATCAAGGAGGAGAAACCGCGTCGCTGACTGAGCCGGAAAATCGGAAGTGACTTTCAGCAGAGACCTATCTCATTCGTTTTTACTTTTTTACCTGGCTGTGTGATCAGACAGATGAGAAACCCTTCATATAAAAAGGTAAGGATAGTTTATATTTGCTGCTAGCTGCGCTATAGTGAAAGTGAGTCGGGGAAAGTGTGTATGTGGCTGCGAAATTTGCGCCGCCTGCCTGACTGACTCAAAATGGCGGATAGGCCGTTAGAGCAAAATAAGGGTGGGAATATCAGAGAGCCATATAAACTAAAGCCGGTAATGGCATAACTTTCATAGAAAAGTAGATTCATCCTCATGTAATTAAATTAAACCTCTTGTCTGACCTGAAATTTGTGACAGCCGGCCTTAAGTGATTTGACACCTACTAATGTTAGCTAGTTCATGTTAGCATCCTCTCCGCGCTAAACACATTGAATAAGTATTAACAGCTGGTGTCATTTGTATTTATGTGTATCAAAAGCTCTGTCGCACTACCGTGGCTTTATAAAGCCGTTACAGTTGTATTTCAGTGGCTGGTGTTGGTGAAATTTGGGATTGGGTGTGCCTGTGACGGTTGAAGGCCGGAGATTCATCACGTCGATGCCGGTGCATAACTATGTTTCGCTACGGTTATGATAAAACGCAGTTTAATCTGTCAACAGGGGCGTGTGTGATGATATGTTGTGCTGTGTTAGCTAATCAATAGTCGAGCCGTTCATGATTATAGTTGGCAAACAAATGGTCAACGTTGACTGTCTGGCTGCCGTCATATTTTGATTCAGTGTTCAAGATGGAATGATTTTGATTAATAAGATAAATAAGCGATACTTAAGTCTTATTGTGAGCCCCCGGAAACTTAATGTTGTTAATAAATATATGCTAAGCTCAATTCCGGTAAGAAAAACATCACCAGCTCAAGAATCATGACATGTAACGTTAGAGGCGCTTGTCTTGTTCTCGGTAACACTATATATTTATGCTCGCACGCCTTAGATTATTCAGCTGTCATCGCTTTCTCCTACCACGTGGGCGTTGCCTTACTGTGGCTAATGATTATTATTTATCCGGCCTAATTAATTTTAGGCTGCTTGGCCTGAACTTGCCTTACATCTGACGTCATTCAGTGTGACGTCTTTATTGCAATCTAATTATAATGTAATTTTTTTTAACCCTACCCAGATGAAAATGACACTGACACAACTGGCTCACAATTCTTGAGAATTTCTTGGAAATAAAACTGGTTATCAATGAATTATGTATGTTGTAGGCCTTTTTCCGTAAATACATCCAATGTGCTCCTATATGTTTGGAATTATTGTAAATTAAGACCTGTTCACACACCAACATGAATGCTTAACACGAAATCTGGTCGGATTTTTGGATGTGATTTGTCTGCTCAGACCAATGCTAAAAAAAACGGCATGAATTAATTAAAATGATAGATGCACCGATGCATCGGCCAATTATTTTCTGTCAGTCAAAAGGGGGCGGAAAAACATGTCGGACTGCAACTTGTGTGTGGAGAAAATGTCTCTTGTGTAGATCTAGTGCTGTCAAAGTTCGTGCGTTAACGCATTAATGCAGTCTCACTTAAAAACAAAAAATAGGCTAGATATATCATAGTTAACGCAGGTTCTATTTTACCCTATGAATCACCCACAGTTCAAGCCATGGTTGCAAGGTCCGCGTTTTTTCTTTGAACCAAACTTTATTTGTAGCATGCCGCCCATCCATTATTCACAAAGAGCTTTGTGCTCTGTTACTTCTAATAAAAAAAACATAGTCTCAGCTCTCAAATTCTGTTCATTTTGTCACAAAATTCTTACAATAAATGCTCAGATTGCTGCATTTATGTTACTCCGTACTAATCAGAACATTGCTAAATTATCGCCAAATGTAAATGTGAAACAGACTGATTTCAAGATTTTAGGCCTATATCAAAATTTACCCGGTAGTTATCAACACCATAGCTACATAAAAAGCATTGTGCATTTTTGTTGCAGCATTACAATGTTCTTCTAATAACTCTAATATTTAGCATACTTTTTATACAAGTATACAGCCAATCCTCACTGATTTTAAGTGTATTGTGGCGATTTATTGGGAGTAGGTGTTTCTGTCAATGGGGCAGCCATAGAAACGGTTTGAGACACAACTATAGACCAGTTAACTGCATCGGAGCACAATTAAACCTAATCAAAATTCAACATGCTGTCATTTCCGCACTAGTGGTTTATGCTGTTGTAATGAAAGTATTAGCTTTGTTTTAAAGTCCCCCTGTAGTCAAAAATTGTATCCTTTAAAACTCATCTTTGATCATCAAAATGACATTTTAAATGTTTTTTCTTGTGAAAATAATTTTCTCATGTTGTAAAATAGCTTGAATGTAACTCTACACCCTTGCCTCATTTACTATACGCGGATCTATGAATACGCAAATTAGCCCCGCCTCCACTCAGTCATACACCAGCCAGCGCCTCCTGATCCACTAACTTAACTAGTAAACGGCATGCAATGGCAAGTGTAAATATTGGTTTAAATAAGCCATATGTGTTTGAACCAGAAATAAGCTGGTAGGCTCAACGTAAGCAAGGAGACTGATGGCTAACTTCATGAGGTAACATTATCTGTTTGCTCTGGTTCGTATACAGATAATGACTGATAAAACCGTTTTTACTAGCGGACAACTACAGTGGATACTGTAACATTTGTTAAATTTACTTACTTGACGATGTTGTGTCCTCAAAATGCCTTTGAAGACTTAAATGCAGCCAAGTTTGTGATTCTAAATCGCGCCCACGAGCATATGCGTGTGACGTGCGGCTGTCAATGCGGGAGAGGTGCGGCTGACTCCAGGCTACTTTTACACTGCTGCCACGGGTTATTATTCAAGTTAGCGGTTCTAAATACAAATAAATAAGCTCTAACAGCACATGACATTGTGAAAATAGGGGAAAATATTAAAGGGCTCATATGATGTTGTTAAAAAGAACATTATTTTGTGTATTTGGTGTAATGAAATGTTAATGTGGTTTAAGGTTCAAAAAACATTATTTTCCACATACTGTACATTATTGTTTCTCCTCTATGCCCTGCCCTTCTGAAACGTGTTGATTTTTACAAAGCTCATCGGTCTGAAAAGCGAGGTGTGCTCTGATTGGCCAGCTATCCAGTGCATTGTGATTGGCCGAATACCTCAAACGTGTGACGGAAATGTTACGCCCCTTACCATATTGTGATGCCGTGTCCCGGCCGGAGCGAAGAGACAAAAACATTAAAACCCATTATAAACGAGGCATTTGTTGCATCCAGTGAGGACATAATTACAGATTATAATGATTTATACTATCTTTTTACGCGTTGCGTTGCATCGTGCCGTGTAAACATAAAACCATGTCTGCATTTGTGATCGGAGAAATGACAAACAACAAGCGCTAATCTACACTGCTCAAAACTCGCGTTTGAATCATCAGTGGCAAATTCTTTAAATAAGAAAAACGTACTTCCAGTCTGTGAGTCAGAACAGCCAGCACTGTAGTCTACTCTCACAGGATCAGGAAACAGTCCTCCATAAAATGTGCTGCACACATCTGAATATTTGGGTTGAAGTGTTCTGGAACAGTGTTGTGAATACAACTTAACCACTGATTTCTAGTCGTGTCCTCTTTTGGAAGACCAAACAAAGTAGTTTCACTTGAAACACACAGCGTCACACACGGTGGGCTTGAGTGAGCGGCGGCGGGCGGGCTTGAGAATGGCACAGCCGGCGGATTAGACGGAGTGGCCGGTGGGCATGCGGCAACCACATGTGACGACCCTGGGCTGGACTCCGCTTCGTCCACGGTGAAAGCCGATCCGGCGATCCACAGC